AACTCTGGATCACAGGCTGGGACGTGAGATGCATCAGTGATATTGCATAGGATTTGTTTCTAGGACTCCCTAGTAGCACAGCATGATGCATCCTCTCTCTGCCATGTTATAGCTCAAAGTGTTAGTCTGAAGCCAGGCAGAAGTCAGGGTAAAGGTGTACTGTATAGATTAACTGACTCAAAGATGCCTACAGGGGTTTAGGTTGTAGCCGTGTTGGTCTAAGGACATAGGCAGACAAGGTTCCTTGGGTGAATTTGATATCTTTTATTAGACCAACCCAAATGGTTGGAGAATGGTTATTAAGCAAGCTTAATAAAAGCATAATAATCAAAGATACCTAAACTTTTGTGAGCAAGAACTATGAAAGTACATGCAGAGAAGCAGAAGAGAACAATAAGCTAGCTAAAAGTGATGGGATGCCTATTTCTGGCATAGGCCGGTATTGGCTTTTTACCTGGTGTTTTTCAAACCATGAAAATATCAGAGCACTAGATCAAGTAGTGCATGTGGTTGAGATGTTGGTGTTATTAATTTATTTATGTAAGTTATATGCCACCTTCTCCCAAAAAGGCTGAAGGCAGCTTACAGTAAGAGAAACAGAGCAACTTAAAAGCGCAACTAGAATACATAAAATTATGGAGGCATCCATAAGTCCTAGCCATGACCCAGCTAGGTGCTGTACAAACATATTGTAAAAAGAATGTCCTTGTGGAAGAAAGCAGAGAGTCTTTTGCAGTGAGTGTGCAGGCAACAGCAGCCGCCTTTGTGTGCTTCTCCATAACCTGGTACATTAGAAGCAGTGATATTAAGAATGGGAACATGGATGAAGGCATCTATGGTGAAATCTTGGATCCACTGAAGTCAGTAAAAAAGTCAGTTACTCTAGTAGGGTCAGTATTTCACCTCTGAGGGCACATCCAGATGAGTGCACACATGTGTTTCCCCAGATACAAATAGTAGCTCTGACATGTGCTCTGGTTTATGGCAAGTTGCCCGGGGTCGGATAGGGAAGGTCTGGCGCCAGCACCTAGGTTGGTCCCGACAGTCTTACCTGGGGTCCTGGGGGCCTCCTGAGAGGAGCCTGGCTGGCAGCCCAAGTGTGACTCTGGCTGGCCAGGCTCCGGTTTTGGCGGTGCATGCCACTTTTTTCAGGTGTGGGGTTTTTTTGACACCGGGATCTCCCAGTGTCAAAAACACCCACCATGCCACAAATTATCAGCGTGGCAAACACCTGCATGTGCGGTGCGTGTGGTTTAGAGCACTGCAGACAAGTCTGCAACGCCGCATACCACACATGCACACTCATCTCGACATGCCCTGAGGATTTTATATACCTGCCTGGGATAACTCACCAGAGTTGGACAAGAGAGGCCTTTGCTCTAATATAGTGGACGCCAACCTTTTTGGCAGACATGCTGCAAAGCAAGTCCCACACCCTTCCTGAGTGCCACTCTGATCCCCTTCCCCTGCTCAATGTGTTGCTCTGCCTTTTGCTCCTTGCCCTATCTGCCCCTCTCCCTTCCTGATTGTTTTCCCCTCTTCCTTTCTGATCTGCTGCATGCCACACACAGAGGCTTGCTATGCCACTTGTGGCACATGTGCGGCAGGTTGGCCTTCCTGCTCCAATACGCCATTTTTGACACCAGACCTCAGACACCAGATTTTTGTCACAATATCAAAATAAAACATTCCATCATAATATGATCTTACATTTGCATGGCACATGGCTTTGACAAGGTTAATGCACTTCACAAGACAAATGAAGTCATATCTGAGGTGAAAACCACCAGCAAATGACAATGAATCCCGTATCCGCTTGAAACCATATAGAAGATCTCGGCAGGCAGAATGCAGTGGGAATCAGTCGGAGCCCAGAGTATTTCCCCTGCTCTTGGGGTTATTTTTGAGCAACAGGCACTTAGTGAGCCCAGAAGATAAACAGGGAATGTCCAGGCATTTTGGTGAGATACTGCCTGTAACTAAGGATGATCCCAGGTGTACCTGGCCTTCTGAGCTCATGGGTCATTGCACTGCCAATGTAACTCCACCAAAGTCACCTGTGTATGAGCAACCCTGAGGCTTGGATGCTGAAGACAGGTGCAGGGCAGGATTTTGATGCATGTGTGGAACTGTTTAGGAGCCCCAGTCTGCAAAAGTGAGGCAGGTCAGGATAGGAGTATATTGAAAGAGTTGTGGATAGACTCAGAACTGGAAAGGGAAAAATACCAGAGCTGAGATATTCTGGCAAAATCTGTTTGCTTTGTGCTCCCTCCTAGCTGGTGCCATTAGTTCCTCACTTTGCAGTTGGGGCTATGTACTCAAAATTTCCTTGAATGTTTCTAGGCATAGAACCATTTCTGTTGCACTGTGAGGCAAGAATAATCTAGTTTCATTGCACGTGAAGCTTGAGACCATCTATGTGTGTACATAGAAGCTCCTGTTGCAACCACTTCCGATTCCACCTGGGGAAGTTGGGTGGGGGGACAGAGAGTGTGAAACACAAAGTTCAGACTATCATGTAGCAGGTGGGCTGTGGGGAATGTCATTTAGCACAGCCATTTACTCAATGAAGCTGCAGCGGTGGAAGGAAGAAGCCTACAAATAAGGGGAATTTAATTGGGGTTTGCTGGGATTGAGGGCTTCAAAATGATCTCTTATATCCATAGGGGAGAAGTTTTACATTTTAATCTGCATAAAGCCTCTCCAGAGGTCTGGCACATGCAAATCTGGCATTCTGGGTTCAGGCCCATCTCCAACTGCAGCATGAGCATTGCACACTCTGTACCTAGTACTGCCCCAGCAGCATTTTTCCTGGAAGCTATATGAATGAAACAAGGACCTGTAGACTCTCTGTGGATAGACCCAGAGAGGAATTCTACTGCCAAATTTTTTTTTTTATCAGAAAATGCCAATGTGTTGAAACCAAAACTTTATATCGCAAGATGCCACCTTTCATAAGCAGGCAAGGTTCTTTGGATAAATCCGATATTTTATTAGACCAACTCAAATAGTTGGAAAAATTCTTCTTAGCAAGCTTTCCGGCACACACACCCTTCATCAGGCTGTTTGTGCCTGAAAGCTTGCTAAGAAGAATTTTTCTAGCTATTTGAGTTGGTCTAATAAAAGATACATTGGATTTACCCAAAGAACCTTGTCTGCCCATGTCCT